CCGATTATGAGGAGCTGAGTTTCTTACTGAAGCCTCCGCCAGCGTCTCTTCAGGCTTTAGTCCTAGTTTCTGCTTCATCTTTGCTGCATTCGTCCTTTATGGAAAACCAAAGCCGTGAATTGTTTATTTTGCACAGTGTATTTGGCTTTGGACTGTCAGACTCCTTTATTGATCGGTGACAAAACTGGATTTATGTTCTTCTCCCCGGACTGATTTAAACGATTTAAAGTTGTTAAAATGAAAAGTTCTAACAGTTTTATGATCGAAGTAGCCTCAGATTATAAATACCTCTGCATCTGGATTGATGGCAGATGAATTTTTATAAATATCGCGTTGATCACTCCGCATCCGCACGCAGAAAATATGGGCTGTTTATGTGGGAATAGATCAGTTTTATGAGTTTTGTAAAAGAAAAAAAAAAAAAAAGGTAATACGCTGGTTTTGATGTCAGTGTTAGATTACATAGATGTGACTTACAGACTTTACTTTCTCTGAAGCACTTTAGGGTCGTAGATGCTGTGTATCACTCTGGAACAGTCAGGGTTAATAACGATGTTCAGAAGCTTTGAGCTAAAAGAGCTAAAAAGGCTGATAACAATCCTCAGTCCTTGATATTGATTTTTTTTTTTTCAAGATATAGAAACAAGCTTTCCTTAAAGATTTGGTTTGACGCATTTTAAAACCTGCTGTAACTATTGATGATTTGCTTTAAAAAAAGAAAAGAAAAAAGACCATCTTTTCTACAAGATGCTACTGTACATGTAAAGATGTCACGATACCAAAAGGAGTAACCACGAAAATGTTACTAAATGTTAAAAGTTTTTTTTTGTGTGAAACATTAGTTGTGCCAATCAGCTAACAGATCGGCGGACCCAGCGTGCGGAAACGTCACCAGTAATGGGCAAACAACCAATCATTCAGCAGCTGTCTCGTTCGGTTGCAGTAGTCGCCATGTGGGTTTGTTTACAAGGGAGTACAGGAGGCCGCTATGTAGCAGAAACTAGCACCGGTAGAATTTCTAGTATAGTAGGAACCGTTACGATTTGGCACCGCAGGGGTACTGTGGGTATTGTGCAACTCTATGTACGTACATGCTTTGCCAAGTTTTTCAAATTATAGCAAATTTACAAAGGAATTTAACAGACACATCTACAGGTTAGCTTAAAGGTAGCTAACAGCCAAAAAAAAAACAACCTTAAAACATTGGCAAGAAGTTTTAAAAAAGACATAAAACAAAGGATTGTGTATAGCAAGTTTAGCTAAACATTGCAAATATGTGTATATGTGTAAATATTTGTTAACCAAAATTTGTTAAAAATAATTCAATTTTCCATCACGGTGGGACATTTTTTTGTCAAAATTAGCAAATATATAAGATAAGATAAAGTTTAGCTCCAAAGTAGCTCAAGTTTGCCCCCAAAAAGTTAAACTTTGGAATTGAAATGTGTAAAAAAAAAAAAAAAAGTAAATGTGTCACAAAAGAAGCAAAAGCTTGCCAAAACTGAAAAGTTACCGTTGAAACATTATCAAAAGTTATTGAAATCCAACCTCACTTTTTTTTTGGTCGAACAACAGAAAATTGCCAACGACCGGGCAGGCTGACCATTTAGACTTTGAAATAAATCTTCCAAACAGACAAAAAGTACCCTGCACTCTGACAGCACCAAAATAGTCTTTCCGTTAGTGCCGCAGCCTTGTAAAAGAAAATACATTACAACCTTAAATTAGATCCTCTGTTTCCTGAGGCTGCTGTGGCATTGACTTTTTCTCTACTCCTCAAATGTATAAATCCATTGATACGGCTGCGGAATTAACTGCCAGGTAGTTCTAAATAAACGTAGAATCTAACAGTTGTTTTTTTTTTTTTTTCTTGATCGCTACTTTGAACGCCATTTGTTTTCAATTTAATACGTTTTTATTTCAAAAGACAGCCTCTAAACACCTGCGTATAAAATTTCAAACATACCTGAGACAACAATGAGCTGTTATTTTAATGATGCTGTATAGGAGTCACCTCTCCTAAAGCCCCCGAAAAAAAGTTAGAGTTACTATCACTCTATCACTGTCCAGTCGCTGCCGTTTCCTGTTCCTAAACTTTTTTTACCAGAGTGGATTTCAGATTCGAACGTGTTATATTCGGATAAATAAAACCTGTTTAGACCCCTCTGTCAGACACCAGCGACTGCGCTGACAGTTTTATCTTTGTCTCGAGTTGAGATGTCTTCGTTTTATTTGATCAGGTTTCTCAACTCTCAGGGATGATTGGTGATGATGGATGGAAACCTGTTAAAACTGTTGAAGCTTTGCAACGTCTTTTGAGCTCATTCTGATGTCGTCGTCCCCCCCCCCCCCAAAACTAAAGGAACTCTACACCCCTAAAATGGGAGGTTTCGCGGGACGTCTCCCAGGATCATGAAGTGTCGGAACTACCCATGTGCACTCTTTAGATTATTGTTTAGACATACAGTACATGTAGGATTCA